GAATGGTGTTGGTCCGATTCATCGCATTGATGGAATAATGGACAGATTCGTATACAGAGACTTATTGGGGGCAGTGATGCTGCCATATGCTGAGGATAATATTCCAATTTTATGGAAGTTCCAGCAGGATAACGACCCAAAACACGCCTCTCTACTAGTCAGGGAGTGGTTTCGTGAGCAAAATGTGGATGTTCTGGAATGGCCGAGTCAATCCCTGACCTAAATCCCATCGAAAATCTCTCTGGGGTGAACTCAAAAGAGAGGTAGGAAGGTCCTCGTGTCAAAATAAAAACCAACTTTGGGATATTGTCCAAAAAAGCATGGTACTCCATCCCCATTGGAACTTGTCGCAAGCTGATATCATCCATGCCAAGACGAATGGAGAAAGTTCTCAAAAATAATGGAGAGTATACCGGCTACTAACTGCTACATACTCAACTTAATGTACAAAAAGATCAAAAATAGTGAAATATCCATTTAGTTTAAACGTTTAGTTCCTTACACCTATTATTGTGTCCAGCCAAAAATGGCCAACTTAGGAAAAAATCTACTTCTGTTGTTAATGATAAGGTTTATAGTATTGTTTCTTTTTTTCTTTTAAAGACAATTAATATACGTTTTAAAAAAACTTTGTTTTGAGCTGATTGGAGAAAGCATGACTTAGAAATTAAAAGTTAAAAATGAAAAATAAAACACACCTATTATTTTGTCCATAAGTGTACTTTCCCCCCCCAACTAGGATTCTATGTGAAACTCGCTTGAAGTGTCCTTTCACCTCTCAAACCCCCTCGTCCTATACCTCCTCCCACCTTCCCGCCGCCCTCTCTCACACCCTCCGCCTCTTGCATTACGTTTTTCAATTTTTCGGCTGCTTTTTGCGTTTCATTTTTTTTTTTTTTTTTTTTTTTTGTGTATTTTTTTCTAAGAAAAAAAGAACAAGAACTCCGGTATACCGAGCAGCTATTGTGTGTTGGCAATTCACTTCCTTTGCCGCTTCCTTCTTCCTTTTCGGTTTTCAGTTCAGTTTTCTCAGTTCAGTTTTGGGTTTATAAAGTTTAGGAAAAATATATATTAAGAGTAAGATTAATTAAAGTATAAAATAAGTATTAAAAAACTCTTTTAAGAACTGAAAACTTAGTTAACATTAAAAACTTATTAAAGTTCCTTTAAAATCTCAAATTTTCACCTTTTTCTGCTTATTAAGTTCTTAATATTTTTTTAACCAATTTTTTTAAGAAACTTAATTTAAAAATAGTTTAAAAAATGATTTTGTAACTGGCATTAAATCAAGTATTGAAGAATTTTCGAATTCCAGAACTTAAGCGCCGTCGTCATCGTTGTCGTCACACCAACACACACACACACTTAGCCACCTTTCCTTATGCTTGCCTGTATGTGTATATGTGTGCTTGTGTGTATCCATGTGTGTCTCGTTTTTTGGCAACGCCAACAGCGCAGTCAGCGCCAACGTCGACGCTGGCAGCGTTATAAAAAAGAGCGAAAGAGAAGGAGAAAGGGAGAATGAGAGTAGTCCTGAATATATTCTGTCTCACTCGCACGCGCGCTCCTTTAAGTTCCCTGTTTTTTTTTTGGTTGTTTCGTGGGGGAATGATGAGTGGCGGGGGGCTTAGGGGGGATAACACACGCGCGTCTTTTCTGAGCCACTTTTTGAGTGAGTTTTATTGGCAGAGCTGAGTTTTCGGCACAGGAGGAGTGGTGGAGACAGGAGACATTCCTTATACAGTCCAACTTCCCTTTGCTGGAACATCCAGTATCCAGGCAGAGTATCTTTGACTCAAGCCAAAACCGCTAGACAGCCCAGGTTTTTAGGGATTGTTTACTTAAGGCTTACTTTGATACTTTGTATCTTTTATTGTAAAAGCAAGAATTGCTCAAGTCAGTGTCTAGAAGTCGTACTAGTTTTTGAGGAACTGGAATCTTTAATCTTACCAAACGAAAAAGATAGCTTACTAAATCTAATGACCACTAATTACCAGAATAACTTCCTTGCTTTTTCTTTCCCAAGCTAACTCTTACAGCAATCCTTCATATAACAATGCTTTTTAACAACTTTCATCTTTGTTTTAATTTAAGTTTTTAACTTAATTTTGCTTTTAATAAGACGAAATATATCTTAGTTTTAGTATAACCCAAAAGTATCTTAGTATCTCAACTTATATAGTGCATAAAAAGAGCTTAAGTTAGGTACAAACTTTCTAACTAACTTTAGTTTGAGTTTTAATATCTCAAGTTTAGCCTTAATAACTAACTTACTCTTTGAGAGATAACTAATAAGATTCCTCTTCCTTTCGCTCAAAGTCTTCATAACGAACGAAGAGTTTAGATATCAAACTAAATCTTGATTAGAATATACCCACGAATACCTCTTCCAAGCTTTCCATTCTAAAATTTCCCTTCTAGGAATGATATTTCTGTCAATAAAATGCAACTCAAATTAGTAGATCTTTTTAAAAAGTTAAAAAAGTTTGAAATAACTTACAAACTTTTAAGATTTCTATATTTTCCAAAGATATTAAGAAGTTTATATTAGTTTAGGTGCACTTTTAAACTATTTTAGTGCCTTTAAAAACCTTTTAAATAATTTTGTATGAAGTTATATTATGTTGGCTCTATCTATATATTCTATATAACAGTCTTAAGCAATTTGTTTCTTATTTTTTAAAACTTATAAGGACTTTCCTAACTCTACTAGGAACGAAATCTAGAGGGAGTGGGAAACATTTGGCTAAACGTAGTTATGGCATTATCTTATAGGGTTTAAAAATGCTTACTTAAAGAAAAGTCAATACTTTCTACTATTTAAATAGTAATATATTTTAAGATAATCTACAAATCAATCATATAAAAACCCTTTAGTATCTCAAAGATACTCCAGTTAATGACAATATACCGCCCATCAATGGTTTAAAAGATACTATATCTAGCAAAGGTGGATAGTTAGATAGAAACACACATAATTTATATCTCAGGATCTGCGGGCCTTGTAGCGCCAGAGCTTTTCTGATAACCCAAGTGAACTAAACCTCCATTTTAGATTTCATCTGTCTCATTGTTAGCTTTAATTACCGCTTTTATCAATTTCCGCGCCACTCACCGAAAAACCAAGGGGATAGAGGAAGAAGAAGAAGAAATAGCCGCCGCCGCCGACAAAGTCACTCAACTCATATGCCATCTCTTTCCTTCGCTTAACTCAAAAACACTCGCCGAAAATTTTCGGCAATCTGTCACACACACTAATACAAGCGGTCTTTCTTAGTCTTTTGCCTTTGCCTTTTGCTTTTGCTTCTCCTCTCCGCTGCGTGTATGCCACTGTATATGCGTGTGTATAGCTGTGTGTTGTATTACGGCTGTATAGCTGTGTGTGTACGTTTTGTATCTGTGTTTAGGAATTTCGGCAGCGGAGAAAAAAAAAATGTGAATTTTCGAGTGAAACTGCGGCCGTGCGCTCGTTCGGCAGTTCAGTGTCTGAAAACGCTCCTAACTGTAAGCAACGTAGCGTCGCGACTCGCGGGCTGCCTCCAAAAAAAAAAAAATAACCATAAAGCAAAAAGAAAAAGAAATTGTACAAAGCCAACAAAAAAGCAAGAAAGAAATGAGAAAAAATAGCCAAACGAAAAACACCAAAAGAAGCAGCAACGGCAGCAGCAGCCTTGAATCAATTTTTTCTGTGTTACACTTACTTGATTTTGTGCCATTTTTGCCATTTTCCGTTTTGCGCGCCACGGATACTTGGATACACGGATAACGGAAACGGCTAACGGGAAACGGCGGATTCCCCGTTACAAACTATCTTCACTGAGAAAATCCCCAAAAAGCAAAAAAAAAAAAAAAGAAGAAAAGAACAAGAAATGAGGAGGGGGTGGTGAATAACACGGGGGGCTTGTGGGGGATTTCTGTGTGTGTTTTTTTTATTGTTGCTATTGCTGCTGCCGCTGCTACTTTTTTCGTGGCATATTTTTTGACTTTGACTTTAAATCGTTTGCCTTTGCTTTTTTCCTTTGCCATTGCCATTGCCTTTGCCCCTGTGATTGTGTGTGTGTGTGCCTGAGTGTGCGTGTGTGTTAGCAACAATATAATATTTTTTTTTTCATATTTTTCTTGATAACATTTTTCAAATTTCCACTTCAACAACAACGACAACAAAAAGTGTTTTCCCGCATTTACAAGCCAAACAAAATCAAAACCGCGCACCACCAATCAAACAAGAACAACAATCTTTTTTTTTTTTTTTGAAGGCACTCTGACATCATCTGCAAAGCTCCACTCTCCACTGCGCGAAAAAACAAATACCAAAAAAATTAAAAAAGAAAAACAACAACAATTCTTAAACATCAACAGCAGAGACAACAAAACAACATTCGAGAGCAACAAATGGAAAAGTAAGCCAGAGGACAGGGGACAGCAGACGGAAAGAAACAAAACAAAACGACAAACAGCAGAAATTTCGACAATTTTTTTGGGCCATATGCGAAATGGTTTATTTTTCTTTCGCCTACTTATTCACCACAAAAAAATATCGAAAAAAAACAAAACCAAAAAAATGCCAACAACAACGCTCACGCACACACACACACGAGAGCCAAGATCAAAGTCAACATGACGAAAAAAAGCTCGCTCTCTCTTAATTTTTTTTTTTTTGGACGCTCTCACGCATCGTCCCGCATAAATCTCTTCTACTTACATACTTCTAATGCTCCCGCGCTCGTTCTCACACTCTCTTTATCTTTCTCTCTGCGGCGGACTCTGTCTCTCTGTCTTGTCGGCTCTCCCACGCCGCCTTGATGACGAAAGCAAATAGCCGAAAAAAGCGAACCAAAAAAAAAAAAAAAGAAATGAAAAAGAAAGCTGACGTTTGCCGGCCGGCGATCGCAACAGCTGTTAGTTTTAACCCTTGTGTGGGCGTGTTAACCCTAAGTCCCTCTGTATCCTTAAAGTGACCCCGCAGAAAACTAATTGCATTTTCCCCGTCTCTTTCACAGATAACTCTTTTTTTTGGCCCAATTGACACCAAAAACAAACAAACAAACAAAAAAACCAACCACAAACCACTAATGTAACTTTTTTTGAAGCCCACAAAAAGGACGAGTTTGATTAAAAAAAAAAAAACAGCAACCAAGTTTCGAGTAAAGAAAAGTTTAAATTAAACAAACCAAAATAAAACGTAAAAGACAGTTGCGAAAAACCCGTGAAAAATCAAAATAAGAAATGCAAACGCGACTTTAATACAAAAACCCACGGACAAACGCTTGCTAAACGCTTTTTTTCCCCGGTTCAGCAGAGGTCAGAGCAAAAGTTTCGACTCGGCAAAAAGAAATTACCAAAAAAAACATAAAAAACAAAAATTATAAATATAAATTTATCTAAAAGCTATAATCCGTCAAGGACGTGAGTCAATCAATCGATTAATTATTTGAACGCGCTAAATTCAAAAAGTCATCATTCCACACGTAACAAGAGTTAAAGCAGGAGTTTAAAAAGAAGACAAGCTAAAAAAAATACAAAATATCGAAAAAAGGATATATCTAAAGATCAATCTCGAAAGCAACGATTCGCGTTTTCGAAATTATAATTACAAATTCTAAAGTGTTCGATTGCATCGATTTTTGCCAATAACTTCGGTTTCAGTCCGGCTAAGTCAGTAAGCTAATCTCCCTGAGATATATAGAATATATATATATATATCCGATCGACTTACCAACCCCGAAGGTAAACCCTAAAAAACACACGCACACCCAACCAAAAAGCACAGAGAAAAAAAAGAGCTACCGAAAAAATGGCATCCGAACTAGATCAATTCGCCGACCTGGAACTTTCAAAGGAGGATCGTGAACAGATCTTCGATCCGCCACTGGATCGACAGCAGTTGGAAGGTGCTGGCACCTCAAGGTATGTACTCGATTACTATTAACCCTTAGAAAAGATCGAAAAACAGGCCTTTTTTTCTCTCTATCCAAACAATAATTTGAAATCAATCCATTCTACCCCCCAAAAGAAATACCAAAATCAAAACCATTCCTCCATCTTTCATTGATCTTGATGTAGCTTTTGTAGTTTGTTGTATGATGCTTTTTTAGCTTTTTAGTGCGGGTTCCCAACAAAAAAAAAAAAAAAATTATAACCACCACCCACCATTATTACCACCCATCCACTTAGAAATCCGATACTCTTACCCCACCAGATCTTAACCCCCGAAAAGATCAGATCAGTTCAGTTAGTTTGGCCAACAACTTAGCTAGCTGGTCGAAAATGGCGCCAAATGGTTTTTAGACACGCCTCGGTTGCGATTCGATGCGCCCCTCCAAGGTTTAGGGCACAAAAACCAAGGGGAGAAATATAAAAAACTAAACATAAAGTTGAGGCTCTCATAAGTAATGGGAAACCCGGAAGGGCTACCAACGCGATCCTTTATTTGAATCTAAATCAGAATTCCTGAGATGGCTCTTCTCCGGCTCTGGCAATCCACAATTGCACAAATTATCACGCCAAATAACATGAAGTTTGCCCCTCATGCGATGGCCCTCCTACTTTGCCACCCTAACATATCACCTCACCTCCTCAACCCTCTCCCCACCTTTTTTTTTGGACATACAACGCTGCTAAATAGCAGCTAATTTCCTGTGATAAATTGGGCATATCACCGGGAGACAGGGAGACAGGAGGCTAAAAGAAGAGAACAATATATATACATACATCTATACATATATATATATATATATATATAGTGGTATATGTATGTGGAAAAATGGCTCTCAGTAGGAAGGAGGAGGAGGAGGAGGACGTGAGGATACTGAGGATCCTCGGCCCCGACCCTCGTCAAGTTGCCCCCTCGAGCCAAGCTCAAGTGGTGTAAGTAAACACTGAGCGGCCTAGAACAAGCCGGGGGTAGGCGAAACCATCATCATTGTCACATAAAAAAGCCCCGGGAAGCCCGGGAAGTAGCCACCACTACCTGTCTCGCCCCTCACAGCCTCTATTCCTTTAGCGATCCTCAATCTACGATCCTTAGGATTTCTTTGCCAACCCCCGATCTGACAGAATTGATATACTTGCCGCACGCTGCTGCCTCCGAATAGGAGGAGCAGTAAAAAAAAAAAAACGCAACAGAGCATATGCAGAAAGGGTTGTGAGGAGGAAACTCACTTAGCATCATCCTAAGGATCGTTTCTCATTCCCTTTCTTTTTTTTTTTCTGTTTGATGGAAAAGGAGTAGGGGAGGTGCAAAAAGATCAATGAAGGACAGCCACTGGGCAACCAAAGATCGAAGTTCGTTCGACCCAACTCAGGGAGCCAAAGATAATGTTTGTGTTGCACCTCTAAACAGATTAGCATTTTTTATATTTTACTTTATTTTTGCTTTTTGTGATGATCATAAAAAGAAGGGCTTCTAAGAGAGATCAAACATGACCAGTTGCTGGGAATATTGCCAAAGAAAAGGCCTAAATGGATTATGGTCAAATATAACACCATGAGGTATCAGACTGGGAAGAATTGAAACTATGAAATATATTCTTTACTCTTAAAAAAATTCCAATCAATTAATGCTATTTTAGAATTGCCAAGATCTGTTCCTTCCAAAACTAAAGTTATCGAAAGTTTACAAAAGAATTAGGTTTACTTTCTTAGATATTGATCATCATTGATCTTCGATAGAAATCGTCTTATAGATGCTAGAACTAGCTTTTACAATGTTCTATCTTAACCCATAACAGAATGATATTATCTTGCTGACTTGACTAGGAGAATACAAAGTTGGCCATAAATTTCTCACCTTAGGGCTTAACCCACCTAAAAATGTTATCATAAAGAAGATGGAAAACTTTTCGAAACAATTTTTGGTAATTCAATTTACTACAATTAGGTGATCTTATGATTATAATCTTAGCATCAACTTCTTCCAATAAATATTAGTATTTGATTTGATGAAGATTTACGATGTAAGATTAGAACATGATGAGATTGTACAAACCCATTCAGATTCTAGTTTAAGCCCTGTCGCCCACAAGCTTGTTGCTTTCTTCATGCCTCCCAACATTAAGGATTGCGATTCTGCTGGTCAATTCCCGCTGCGTGTTAAGCCGCTTGTTGCAACAACTGCTAAGCCGGTAGGCAAAAAAAAAGGAAATACAAAAACCTAAAAAAAAATCCCAACTAATTTCCTGCTGGAATGCAAAGTAAACAAAACAGTCGAGCGAAATAATATGAAAAGTCCATGGAAAAAGAGACCAGAGACCAAGAGACCAGAGGAAAAAAGTCTCACAGACAGGCGAAATCTTTTTCTGTAGCAATTGGTTTAATCCGGCAAAGGAAACATGCCGCTGCCACAGGAGGAGGCATCTTTCGCCAGGTTCGATTTGCTTTTTCGTTTGCTTTTGCTTTGCTTTGGCTCTAATTTGGACTTGGACTTGGTCGTGGTCGTGGTCTTATGGTCTTTGCCTTGGTCTTGGGATTTTGCTTAGAAAGAAGGGTTGACCCAGAACGCCAGCGATCGAGATGAGATCTCATCTCATCTCTGGAATCTTTTCTCTGTGTTTGTGTGTGTGTGTTGGTGATCTCATGATCAGGTTTCTCAGGAGAGTTGGCGGTTCGGAAATATGATTTTGGCTGAGTTTAGGGGCTTTCCTGCCCGCTTCATTGTGTTTTTTTTTCTTTTTTGCTATATTTTTTTTGTTGTATTATTTTTGGTTTATTTTTTGTATTTGCCCCTTGTGTGTTTGTTCGTTGTTGTTGTTGTTGTTGTTTTTTTTTCTAGTCGCAAAACGCAAAACACGTTTCTCATATTTCCAAACTCGCTCTCATTTTCTGCGAGTGCTGCGAGATGCGCGCTCAAACATTTTTAATTATACAAGAGGCTGCCCTTGTTCCGTCTTCCGCTGGCTTCTAATGTTTGTTCACTTGCGGATGGGGTGGGGCCGAGGGCTGCTCCTTGCTAGCTACTGCTAGCTTCCTTGCTTGCCAATTTGTCCATTGCCACTTTGCTGTCTCTGCCTCTGCAGTGCTTCTAATCGCAACCCTTTTGCTTGCCGCCATCTGTATCTGCGTATCTTTGCCTCTGCCACTTAGCCTGGCAAGGAGGACTCGCTTGGAAGCCAGCAGCAAATTTGATTCCCATCGATTATCAACTAGCAGGGAGAGTCCTTTCCGCCTGCCTGCTGATCCTGCCACTGTTGCTCGCCTTTTTTGATTGACAGCCAAATTAGTAGAGCTTCTTCTTGATCCGCAGGATCCCTTCTTGTTCTCGTCTTTTGGGGTTAGATGGGTTTTGGCGATCTAGAAAAGCTAGAGCCAGCTTAGAGCAACAGCTGCTTCTACTCAAACCAAACAACGAAGCCTGACCTTGGTTTATCGCTCCATTCATTCTCTGATCCAATCCAAACCGATCCAAACCGATCGCCCCCGCCTTTGTCGTCACTTCACAAAGACCAGCCAAAACTCGATTCACATGAGTCCAGACGTATGTGTACAATATGCATATATATGTATGTATATAGAGTGTGATTATGCACTGTACAAAAGCAGGTTAACTTTCTATAACTATTTTCTATTAAGATTAAGAAAACTGTGATTAGTTAAGCTATTAAAACATTAGATAGTTTAGGGTTTCACTTTAGAATGTTTCAACTTTGATTTGAATGAAAGTTGCATCAGTTTTTCATCTATTTTGTTTTCAGATTCTATTATAATAGTCTCTCCTATAACCTGTTTAATAGTTCCCTGATATTTCCCATCTAAAATCATATGTTAGGAAAAAGATACTTTGATTCTTTTCATTATATAAAATAATGAATAAATATAAAGGAGATGATCTAGCCTTTTCTCTTGACCAGAGTTAAGCCAACAAATTTCACCAAAAAACTCTGTGTTTTACACATAATAAAGCCTAGATTTTTTTCCAGTGTATCTGTGTTGTATAGAATCAGAAATGAATGAAATCAAGTACTCAGTGAGTGGAGTGGCGGGGGAGGCCGTCACACTTTACCTACATTTGCCCAAACACAAAAAAAAACAAACAAAATATGCTCTGGCCCATATTGAGATTGTTGGGATAGTTGTTGGTATAGAAGGACGTTGATCAGAGGGTAAGAAGGGGTATTTGGTGGGAGGGGTAAGGCGTGGCCCGCCAAATTTCCGCTGCTGCGAATTGCTTGAACTGCGATTGCTGGAAGTTGAAGCTGTTGCACAGCGGAAGACCAGAAGGACACCGACTTTGCCAAATCATTATGGACAGCAGACAGGATGCACACATACATATATATATATACATATATTTTAAATATTTTCCTCCGTTTATACTCCTACAACGCCAGGTAGACAGGTAGCCAGAAATGCATAAGTATGCGTTTTTTTTGTGTGTGGGAGTTCAGGTAACAAAAAACCAGAACAGTCTTGGCCTGCCCTAATTTCAAGGTGATTCTGTAACCGGGTTAAGCTTTTGACAGTCCTTAAAGAGGCATTCAGTATGATCTCTTGCTAAATGCAGTTGAAGTTATACTATAGCTCGGAATATTTTATCACTTAAACTTGAATTATTGAAGATAGAATGTATTTTCAGACTTCCGACCCCTAATGGTCTTAATAATCTTTATAATAGCTACGAAATCACTAAATAGACCTTGAATCCTAGTTTCTTAACTTGCAAATAGTACAGAATTTTATTTCGATTACCGAATTATTGTCCTTACAAAAGTCAAATATGAAATAACGACTTCGTTTCTTTGATTCTTTGGTTTATAAACTTCCGCTTAAATAAGAAGCATTCAAAATTTTTGCAAACCTATCAGGATTTCATTTCGCTTATCCAGTTATCGAACATCGGTTATCGAGCATACATCTAATTTCGAATCATCTTCCTTTTTTTACTTTGCCCTCTTCCTCCCTCCGTCTCTTTC